CCTGAGACTCCAAGTGAAGGGTGGGGTATAAATCCAATCTCTTCTTCTTCTTCTTCTCTTCTTCTTCTTCCCCACAGATGACTTCTCCATTTACAATCATACAAGTTACAATCATACAAGATTCTTACACGGTGGTACATGACACTACAGAAAATAGCAATTTCCTCATCGACTCATTCATCCCTTTGCTGGAAAAAATGCAGACAAATAGGATCTTATGCCCACTGTTGGTGGGAATGTCCAGTTCTACACACCTTTTGGCAAGAAGTGCTCTTCCAAATTAAGTCCATCACAGGTTATGACATCCCATTAGCACAGGAGATCCTCTTTCTCAATATTTGGAATGATCTCTCAATCCTACCTCTTCAACGTGACTTAATATTAAGCCTCATTGTTGCAGCAAGACCGTGTATAGCATCAAGATGGAAATCACATCTGGCTCCCACGATAGATAATTGGCTCTCGAAAGTATGAGACCACTTCATAATGGAAAGGATCACAGATCCCTTAAGATAAGTCAACTTTCCACAGAAATCCAACCTTCTTCCGAAATGGTCTCCATTCATAGAATACATAACTGCATCTGACATCCAATCACATAACCCGATATATCTCCACTAATTTACACTTAATTAACATACTTCCTCTGATTATTGTGAGCTCTGGTTGTTTGCACTAATGGCACCAATGTTGTTTATTTGATTCTTTAGAAATATAACATCAAACACAGGAAAAATCTTTAAAGAGTACACAACTTTATTAAACATTGTTCATATCTTATGAGCACAGTTGATACTTTCACAATATTAGGAATGTTTTATTGCTACCATCATTAATGAGTAGTATATTGAAACAAACTCTGATATTTGTTTGCAAAGCTGTGTAAATTTTACTGGCAATTCAGTATTCCTGTATTATTTTTGAAATGTCAATAAACAGTGATTTGAAATTAAAAAAAAAGAATTATTTTCCTCTCCCCCTGGCAAACTGGACCTAAAATGAAAAAACAGTCAACAACAGAAAAGCAACTTCACACAGACCTGTAGAAAAGAGCAATTCAGGGCCTGGCCATAGGACTTGTAAGCTGATGAATGCCATCTCCCCAAATGCTGGATGGCATGCACTGGGTAACCCATTGCTGCCGCGGTAGATGCAGTACCAATACGAAAGGAATGGGGACAGAAACATACCCTAGCTAGCCCAAGCCTCTCCAACACTCTGGAAGTGACCACCCAGAATTGGTGTTTCGTTCAGGGAGTAGAATTCTGGTCGCGGAACAGATTACCCTCATCCTGTCCACGAAGGGCCATAAACTCAGCCAATGCTGAGACAGGACACAGCTCCTTTTTTGCACGTGTGCCCAGAGTGACTACAGACCCTATCCTCCGCTAGTCCATCTTGGAACACCGCAAGGTAAGATACACCTTGTCAGCCACTATGCAGACATCTCATGCCCTAAGCACCCGGCCCGACTCTTCAGATTTTGTCTGGGCCACCAACTTACTTATACGGAAAGAGCCAAAAAATGCCACCAAAGCAGCCACAAAAAACGAATGGGCCTCATAAAGGGATGTGCAAAGCCTTTCAAAATAGAGGGGGGAAAGCAAGACCCCCACCCACCCAAGCAACAAACCAGCACAACTTTTTGTTTAAAACCCAAGCAACAACAATAAAAAAAGAGAAAAGCCCTTTAAAAATTAGAAATCCCTCTTTAATTTTTCCCTGTTGATGTATTCTGGTGTCCAGCAGGCCAGGGAGGCAGCAGGCCAGGCAGGCACAGCCACTGGCTGAAGTCAAATGCCAGTGCAGCACAATCTCTCTCAGGCAGCCAGGTAAGCAAGAACAGCAATGGAGTCTAACCACCAGGTAGGACTCCTTATATGCTTTTTGGGCTAAGCACAGGACAGTTTCAAAAAATAACAAGAAAGGAAGGTGGTGTGCAAAGCAACACCACCAACCTTGCAGGCTGCACATGCATTTGCAAGCTGCAAATGCATGGCAGTGATTGGCTGAAAAACCCTTCCACCCCTCCTCCTCCCTGGAACCAGAGAAGAGGCGGGAAAAGGCATGTTTAGGTGGGAAAGACAGCAAGAGGCTCTTGCTGTCTTTCCCTGGCCATTTTTCAGGCAGTGGAAAGACTGCTGAAAGCCGCCGAATGATTCGGCGGCTTTCTTTCGGCTGGCCAAATCAGACCAGAGAATCTGATTCAGCCAGCAGCTAGCCGATATGGGGCCGAATCAGCGGCTTTCAACCATTGATTGGTCCGGCCAAGCCAAATGCACACCCCTAGTCAACATGCCGCCGCCGGTCAGCACGCCACTGCCGTGAGTCCCCCAGGCTGGCCTCCCCTTTCCTGGCCCAGCCAATTAGGCTGAAGAGCCCGGAGAGCTGTGAGGGAGTGATGACTGGACTGAAGAGGCAGGGGTCATCTTAAGAGATCTCTGGCCCGGACCCTTCCAGGTACCTGGCTGAAGCCCAGTTTGTGTGGGAAGCCTGCTTCTCCTCCTAGCTGGGAGGCAAAGGCAGCCCACCAGCTGCATGGCCAGAAGGGCCGGCGGCCGACTGAACCAGGTTCTCATGGATTTCACTGCATTATTTGCACTGCATTCCACCATTGCTTGTTTTCAGTAAGGGTACATTCAGAATGCAGTGCCTGAGTCCCAGTCTCTGACTTGGACCTTTCTTATATTTGTTTATGCTGAACAATCTGATAGTCTTTCCTGGAGCACCTGCCTAAATTTTGTTATCCAGACAATAAGTTGGGATGTGTGCCATGACAAATGAGATGCAGAGGGATGATGTCAGCATCATATACTATATTATATACTATCCAACCA